GCTGGCTCCGGCCACTTGCAGAGAGATCAGCGTCCCTGGTTACCAGCTAACCAGGGACACTGATCTCCAGACAGCAAACTCTCCCGGGCGCTCTGGGAGTCTCTTGCTCCCGGCCGCCCAGGAGAGAAACACTTTTTCCAAGAAAGGTTTAGCAGAGTTGAGCAGAGTAAAACTTTCCCTGCTTTTTCTTTCTTTTTTTTTATTCTGACATGGAGCTGTTGGCTGCCGTCAGATTAAAAAAAAAAGATTTTCACCATAGGAATGCATTGCTAGATTCCTATTGGCTATTTTAATTTGCACTAGCCAATAGCAAACTGGCTATTGCACCCGCCCACTGCTGCTGTCAATCAGCAGAGGGGACCTGCAGTTCTCCATCAGGTCCCCTCTAGTGATTGACAGCAGCAGAGGGCGGGTGCAATAGCTAGTTTGCTATTGGCTATTGCAAATCGCAATAGCCAATAGGAATCTAGCAATTCATTCCTATGGCGAAAATATATATTTTTTTTTTTTTGACGGCAGCAGAACCGCCGGCCAATAGAAAACAGTTGGGCAGATCTAGCTGTCACTGCTAGCTCCGCACAATCATTTTCTATAGTTTTTTTGTACTTTTTAAACTATTTTTCTGTTCTGCTCGGTCCCACAGAGGGACCGAGCAGAACAGCCGAGCCGAATGCCGCTCAGCGGCATTCGGCTATTTACTCACTGCTGTTCGGCATCTATAAGAATAGACTGAACAGCAGTGAGTAGGCTGCCGGAGGTTCGGGGTTTAGCTGATCCAGATGTTGGATCGGCTGAGTCGAACTCCTTCTGCACTTCACAGCGCTCGGCTCACTACGCTTCAGGTCGGACGTTCACTTGGCTGCCTACGGCAGGTTCGTGAATAGACCCCCTAGTTGATTTCTTAAATCCCTTGCGCCATTAAATGATTATATTTGATTGTCCAAATCTAATGTTATTGTCCGTCCTTAGAAATCTTCAGACCTACTCTTTATTTTCTGAGCTGTGCAATAGCTAGTGTTTACACTGGTGATTCATCAGGATTTAGTTTTTTTTAACATTGCTAAGTTTTTGGCTCTCCATTATCATTCTTATAATATCAGAATGTTACTTTGTTTCTTCTCCACTTTTATATATATAGCACATTAAAAGGTACATATCTAGAATCCCCTTTCTTCCTCTTTTGTAAGCCCTATATTTCTGTATTCTGTCTGAGGATGCTGTGCATATTAGTTTAATAATGATTATCTCATATTAGGGGGTTTTGCAAATCTCTTGCCTTATGTCAGTGTTCAAGTTGCCAATCAGCAATACAAGATACATGTTTACTTAATGGTACGCTATGTTCAACTAACCTTCTGTCTTTGCTGTGTTTCCCTTCTTTCCACAACTATCATGCAAATTTAAAAAAGTAATATGCATAGTACAGTAACCTATAGCAATCTGTTCTTTTGATAGTTAACTACAAAGCTTTAAACTTTAACAAAAATGTAAAAGTATATTGTTTGTATACATTATACAAATTGTCATTTGTAGAAGATGTATTGCAGAAGTGTGCAGAAATGTAGTTGATAGAAAACATTCAAAGGAGAGGTGTACTTTAATTCCTCCCCTAAAGTATGCTTAGTTTGTCTCTCCTTGTGAGGAATTCTGCAGACTTGTGCTTCGGGAACAGATATGCAGTAATCCTCTTTAGAACACTGTTTATATAACACCAGTTACTGTGCTTGTTGCGGGCTCATGGTGTATAAAGGAGAAATTCAAATGAGGACTCAAAGATAATAAGCCTTAAATATTGCCATGTAAACCATTAATTCTTACATTTGTTATATGATATACTACTTTATTACAGGAAATATTTAATTAGTACTCCTGTTGCGCGTTGGTAAACTGTAAGTTTACACCAGTACTTTCCAGACAATCCCTTATGCTTTCACAACAACCAAATATAACAAATCCTCTTTTTTTTGTGTGAAAGGAAGTATTTATTAAGCTTTCAGACTAACATTGTTAGTTGAATTTGACAAGTACTTCTTAAACCTTTCAAAATCAAAAGTATCCCCAATGTTTGCAAGTTAATTTGCTGACATTTGATCAGCTTTTAACAACAAATGTTTCCTTATTTCCAGTGAATACATGATCATAAATAGGTAAAATTAAATTAAAACTACATCAGTACTACTCTAAATTGCATTTTGAACACATATTTATTCCAGTTTTTTGGCTGCTTAAATCCAACAAAATTGCCATGTTCATGACTAATCGGCCACTGACATTAAATGAAAACCATGTATCTTTCTATATATGGTCTGAACTACCTAATCCCCACTCTCACAATGGGTTTAATGCCCAACTATGCCCAGACTGACCAACAGATTGTAAAAGAATATTGATGTAGATATATTAATGTGTAATCTTTCTGCTTTCTAGATGTTTAACATATACATTTACTAGGGGGAAAGATAAAATAAGAGAAACCAGCAACTTGCTGTGCAAAAATGCCCTATTTGTCTTTCTGCAGGTACCACCAGATGAATGGGGGGGATACCCAATATCTGGAAAAGAAGGAGAAATACCCTGCCGAAGAATGAGAAGTGGCAGCTACATCAAAGCCATGGGGGATGATGACAGTGGAGACTCTGATACCAGCCCCAAAATGTCACCCAAAGGTGCTCGCCGGCGTGAAAGATATCGCAGGTCTTCAAGTGTCGACCATCCCAGAACCAAGTAGGAAACTCTTCTTAACCATGTTCACACTGTCAGTGTCTCTTATATTTTCACTGGCAAAATCTAGGACCCAATCACTAAAGGGGTGAAACTGGAATTGTGCTGCTTTTTTGTTTTCTTTTTCAGTTTCACCTTTTTTGCATATACGTAAAAAAGCTACAGCTATATTTTTGTTACAAGTTAATATTACACCAAAATCAATTTGATGATAAATACTGTCTTTTTATAAACAGATAAAATAAGCTTTTTAACTCTTTTCACTCATTCCTTGTGATTTACATCACCCTCGTCTAGGTATAATCCATTATTTTTCATTATCAAAGCACATATGCAAGTTCTAGTTTAATTTTTTTTTTTTTTAAAAAGAGCACCCTCCCTACCCAGTACACAAAGCATACAGGCTGGTATGCCGATGGACAGAGCCACCAGGTGTGAACCTCAACACTATACAGATGCCTCAGAAAGAGACTACAAAAATAGACTCCACCAGCTTGGCACCAAGCTCTTCTACACAGCTAGTGGCCTTAAAGGTGATAAAGGCATTATGTGCTACATGTGGAGGCAGGTAAATTACTACTGCCATCGCTGTTAACTGGTAGATTGTTCCATGGACCCCCTACATATTTACTTGCAAAGTAAATAAAAAAACTTTTTTTTATTTGAACCTATCCCATGTTTGGTCTTTTTGTCTATAAATCCCTTTTTAAATTACACCTTGTGAAGCAAATCTGCCCATGTGTTCACTCAGGTGAAATTGGTTAATGACTTGGATCTCAATTGTTTATATTGATTGGAACATGGTATTCTGGGAGATCTATATTCTGTATTTACCCAGCTGACATTCTAAAAATTTAATTCCCAGGATCACCTACTGTACATACATTACAAGCATTTTAGCAGCTATATTGCAGATTCTTACCTGCTTTTGTTAATACCGTGTTTCCCCGAAAATAAGACACTGTCTTATTATATTTTTTTTGGCTCAAAAAAACACACTAGGTCTTATTTTCGGGGTAGGCCTTATATTTTAGCAATTCCCAAAAATAGTACTAGGTCTTGTTTTCGGGGTAGGTTTTATTTTCAGGGAAACAGGGTATCCTTACCAGCCCCTTGCCAAACTGACTGCTAGGTGGAAAGGTCTGTCTTTACTATCCAGATCAGGCTTCATGCATTAATAAGCTCGTTTTACATATTAGAAATAAAATTTCCAATTACAGGGGATGCCTGTTATTTGTCTTCAAACTTTCTGTTGACTTCTGGGAAAAGCAGTAAGCCGACCATATAAGCATGGGTTTGACGTTCTGCTGCATGTCATACACTGTTCATTTCAGTCTTTAGCCACCAATTACATAAACTGACAAAAAAATAATATTTATTTTCCTAGCTAACATCCTAGGCAACAGGAATCTGTATTAGCTAGGAAGAGAAAAAATATTTTTTGTCAGTTTATATAATTTGTGGCAAACTAATAACTGAAATGAAAAGTGATTTTTAACAACATTAAATTACAAAATGACATGTAAAGCAATTATAAGTATTATTATTATGCAGTTTTTCTAAATTCCTTTATTGGCTGTATAGGAAGAAATGGGGTTGATTTATTTAATAAGTAGAGCATGTTAACTCTGTAAAGTTAATTTTCACTTAGCTTAGTGAATGTGTTGAAAATTCCCTTTGCAAAGAATACCAATCATGTTCAAGGAAAATTCTAAGTAATTGATTTTCTCTTGCAATTGATTGGATGATTAAAGTCAGCAGAACTTCAGCCCTCATTCACTAAGCTGAGAGAAAATTCCCTTGCAAAGTGAAAATGTGCATTGCTAAGTGATCTGTCTATATTCCTTTAGTAAATCAAACCCATAGTATTTACAGTGGGTAAAGTAAAGTAATTACGTAATGTTTATTTAACCCTAAACTGGGTTTTTATAGTGTAAGTTTAAGTTGAGACTAGAAACAAGAAAGGTGAATGTTAATATTTTTTTGTAATAGATCATTTCAAAAAGGTAGTTCTTTCTCTTAATTTTATTTTGCATTGGGTGAATTGGGTATTGGGTCCAAGCTACTCCTCTTGGGACAGTGGTGCTGTTAGTGAGCATAACATTTTTTTTCAGAGGGAATTTCCAGATTTTAGGTCAACCCTCTAATCATCTGTCCAGGACTGTAGGGCATATGAGCTGGTAACAGAGCGATGGAGGAACACATACTTCCAGGTCTTCTACTATGACCATAGAGAAACCAGCCTGTGTGTCTGGTGTTCTGCAGTGGTGACAATAGGAGGATTCTATCTATCTGCTTTTGTTTGGCCAACTTAACATACCACAATGCATATCACATTGTATGATAAAGGTGCATCTGATTACGTTGCAAACAGCATTGCAACTCACATACACCGCACACTATAGTGCATTGCGGTAATGTGCGTTACTGCTAATGCAAATGTTGGATTATGTCAGTTAATGCCTCAGTTTCACTTATTTCTTTCCTTCCATTTTTTGCTGTTGATCTTTGCATTTTCAAAAAAAATCAGAGGCTTCATAGGTGGATAAATAACTTTGCATTGAAATAAAATGCAACTTTATTTCCCAACTTTATGAATAGATCCCTAATGATTGTTGTGCAGTACAATGTATTTTAAAAAAGGGGTTAAATAGAGACTGTACACTTAGAAAAGTGAGTGTTCAATAAGCTTATTAAATAGTATAAAGATGTTCACTTTACTCAAGCATGTATGTCCTAGTAATAAACCTCTTACCCCTCTTCCTTAATTTCCCTCACAAGATTGGGTATTCAAAGGGACCACAGATTTTCATTATTTCCTATGAGGAATAAGTATCCCACAATATAAAAAAAATCAAAGAGCAATACTCTGACTTCAAAAAAATCAAACAAATAGGGAAATACCTCGGTTTAAGCTTCAGGTATTCCCCTATCATTAAACAAATAATTTAAAAAAATCACAACCTTTTGGTTTAAAAGGAATTTTTCAAGACTTTTTATGGATAATAAGCAACTAAGATTAAAAGTCAATGGTACAGATTTATAAACAACACCCACATTTCCTAGATTACTGACTGAATGCCACCAATATATGCATGTGAAAGACGGCCATCAATCTAATAGCAGCAAGTTAACACTTTGCTTAAATATTCTAATTGAGTGCAAATAGTGCACTAGAATAAACAATAAATGGGGATCACATTTACTATGCACAGTAGTTTCGTAGCAAGATCTTTGTCAGTTCACTGGGTATAGAGCTATGTGGATCAAAACAGCTAACCAAGATTCCTTCAAGTTGTCAAAGTAAGGTTTTTATATTATGACACCTGCTTAGTGCATAATCGTGACTTAATGGTACACGGACAATGGTGTGGTAATATAACTGCAAGATATTAGGATTTTATCAAAGAATCATAAATATTTGTTATCCGTACCCTGTGGGTAATTATTTGGTCAAGGCCATACATGGATATTAGAAACACATCCATCCTTCAAAGTATGTCCATCTTGAGATGTATCCACTGCCCAAAAGCAGGCTCTAGAACTCAGAGGTTCACAGTCCCTTGTACAACTCAAATATAGTTGTTATGAGTGATGCTTAAATAAAATAGGATGCCTATACTCCAAACTAATGTGGCAGGTTATATCCAGGACACAAGTTACAGAATGGACATGGGGAGAAAACATCAGATGCATGTATCAGGGTCTAGAAGAACTTGATCTAGTATTCTTATTTCACAACATTTAATTCTGAATACAGGAGCTCAGGAGACGTGGGTGGATACTACGCCACTGAGATAGTGACATGTTTTGTCATCACTACAGTGACTTTCTCAAGCGGAAGTGGAAGTTTTCTTTATTTGAATAAGTGGATACCTAAAAGTGACATTAAACCCTCAGATTTTTTAACATAAAGCAATACTGTAATGTGTGCCTTACTGTAATCCATGGTCGTTTCCCTTCTCTTTGCTGCTCTTTCTTTTAAATCCTTATCTCTTCTCATGCTGGGCGCAGAACTTCTGTTTTGCAGCAGACTGTCTTGTCTATGGAATGGATACATGGTGTCTGTGTGCAGGTTCACAACCTGAGCCAGCACTACAGGAAGAGGCACACATTACAGTATTGCTTTACAGGAAGTGTAAATTATTACACTTGCACTACAGGAAGAGGCACTCAGCTGCAAAGGGAAGTTCTCCCCCAGCATGAGAAGAGATAAGGGTTTAAAAGGAAGAGCAGCAAAGAGAAGGAAAACTACCATGGATAACAGTAAGGCACACATTACAGTATTGGTTTATGTTAAAAAATCTGAGGGTTTAATGTCACTTTAAGCTTTAACCAAGTTATCTCCTTTGTTTGCTTTTTTACTCTTAATTACTTTGCTAAGCAAGCGGCCTTTACTTCTTTACCAAATCATCCCTAATGTGTATAGTGCTGCTGGTAGGACACATGTATTTTAAAATACCATGGGCAAAAAACTATACGCTTGGAACAAAATATTTCTGCCCCAATTTTTTGTTTGTTTATGACAACGGTATTTCGAAACAAAAAAAATTAGAGTTTATTTTTATGCAAAAAATGTAATCGAGTCTTAATTGCTCAGAGTATCTGGTAATCTGTGGATACATCTTGTATATCATTGTGTCAAGTATACAAATTGTCTGGTAGTACTAGACAAAATGTAAAAGAGGTGGTGACAACAATAAAGCCCTGGAGGTCTGTACTTGGCTTGCAGGCCGTGCTTACGTTTTTAGGAATAAATTAGTGTAATCTTACTGAAACACTGTTTCATGCAGAATCATGTATTTTTAAAATATATTTTTGTAGTATTGCATTATACTTTTTAATGATCACTTATTTCCACAACAGTAGAAGTCACTAAAGATAGATAATTAACATGTTACCTATTTGTGAGATTTTAAACTCTAGAAATTTGTCTTCAACTATTTCTACCACCTACCTGGCTTAATAACATTTCTACTACAGTGCCAAAGTCCATGCACCACACTTGCAAGAGCCTGTGTTAAAATGTATGTATAGCAGAAATAGTTTTTGGAAAGAGTAGTTGTCTGTGTCTTGCTGCAGAGACTTCTCTTCACTTTCTGTGTTGGAGATGCAACACAGCATAGGAGGTAGTCTCACTAAAGTAAAGGAATTTGCCATCTTAGACAGTTCTCATGTCTCATGACAACTCTGCAATTTAGGATTGCCTCTTGCTTGCTGTCATATTAACAATGATCACCAGGACAAATAGAGGGGTGAATCTCTCCAGTGGGGACTAAGACCTTTTGCCTTTGCATGCACTTTAATCTTTAAATTTATCCTAATGCTCCTGGGGAGTACCTTAAATCATATGCTAGGCAGTGTAGGTGGCCTAGACGGCCATCCAAGTTTAGATTTTGTCCCATGCCCTCCTGGAACTAAGCCCCACTCCCTGACCATCAACTGTTTACAGTCAAATGCCAGAGCGTTTACTGGCATTTCACAATTTAATCTCAATTTGGGCAGATGTTTGGCTTGTGTATAGCCTGAGCCTAGGACCCAAAGAGCTTAGATTTGCATTTCAGCACTATTGTTATCTTACAAATATGTTAGAATATCTCATGTTCACTTTGATTTGAATTAACAATTATTCTATAGCCTGGACATGTTTTTCATACCTCCACACTTAGAGGGACTCGGTAATAAAAGTACTTTGTGCAGTAATTTGAAAGTTGCTGTGTTACAAAGTGGTACCACGTGGAGATTAATTCCTTTTATTTAGTCTTGAGGTAATTAATGTGGCGCCGCTGAACTCCTTTTGAATGGGTCTCCCCAGAATTCCTGCTTCTGATGGTGAGGAAAAGCAAGACATTACTCCCTTGGGAGCTATATGCAAGGCCCAACCTGGCCTAACCAGAATACAATTCCATTACTGGGCCCACACTCTAAGCTGGCATTTGTCCCTCTTTCACTGCATGATTGGAATCCTTGCAAGGAATAACGTCAGCTCAGGCTGGATTTCATAATAATAGAAGTGTCATGTTTACTTGAGTTAGTGTACTACAAAAAACAGTACATTAGCGGCACTGTTACTTCACAAGACATATCGAAAGTCACATCAGCTTAGAACAGGTTAGTCAATTTACCCCAGAGAGACTCAATCTCCACATTTCTACATACTTGATATTTCCAACTGGAGTAATAGTCCAACTGTCTCTCCTCTCCACAGGCCACCCAGCACTGCGTACACTCACATCATGTCCGGCTCTAAGCTCAGGAAGATGAGAACTTCTCTGTTCACACGCTGTCCCTCAACCAGCCTCTCATCCCTTACTCCACCTTCCCTTCCTACATAATTACTTGCAGCAACACTAGTGAGGGACAGGGAGAGGTTGTTAAGCACCTGTAAGTCAGGACTTCATCTTAATGGGCTTATGTCTCAGAAGCTAGGACAGGCTTTAGGACTTTCTCCTGGTGGAGCAAAGATGGAAGGAAACAACAAGTGGCATCTGAGAGAACTACAAAAGAAATAATGGAATGCTCATGAGTTTATTTTCAAGTGTTATTTAGCCAGCCCCCTTTTTCCAAAACTTTTAAATGGAGTTATTATCCTTTACGCATTAGCAAAGATAGCAGGGTACTTAATAAGCATTGGTATTCAGCTTTCTTATCTATGTTTGTGATATTAATGCTTTTTAATTCAGAAGCTCCAAGCAGTGAATAATTGCCATGTGCTGCTGGCTGACTGTCACATTCCTAGTAAGCTGAATGCAAAGTTCTTTCTCAACCCTTGTTGCTAATGTTTAGTGCTTCCTAAAGCCCAAACCCATTTTGCTGCTTTCTAAGGTGGAACATAATGATGGGAAAACAAATACATACAGTAGATACTAAAACACACTCAAAATATCTAACTTACCTTTTGATGACTAGACAGTGACTCTTATTCCCTAAACATATTTTTCTGTCTTTTTATTAGAGCTGAGTGGTAATCTAGTTTGAGTATTTTCACTATGTACTGTTTCAGTACTGACACATGTTTGATCTGTGCTAGTTCTGTCAATACATATCTTGTGAACTGTAATTAAGCAGACTCACTCATAGAATCCTACTCATTCTGTAGCTTTGACCTGATTAAATTAATTTCATATGATACCGAGGTATATTAAGAATATTGGGGCAATCATGAAAGGCTTAGAAAAGTGTAGAGGGCGTTTAAGAGCTGGTTAGCATAAAATGATATGTAATAGCTATATTACAAGAAGATTGCGATCAATGGCTTGAGACTGGGCATTTTATCAAAGGTGGTCTTATAATGAACATAGTTTAGATATCTATAGATAGAATGTGACAGTTATTCATTAGGAAATGGCCTGAAAATCAAAATGCCATATGCATGCTCAGCTTTTCCTTTGGTTTTGGCCTCCTGATGTACTTTGTTCAGATTTCTTTTTGCTTAATTTATATTGCAGTTTTCAGATACAGATATCAAATGTGCTATATTTTATTTGTGGATACATCCACATTTTACAGACAATTGCGGAGAGTTAATGCACATGCGGTAAAGCACTTTATGTTGGTTGTTCATGTGTTTTGCGTAAGACAGACCAGTCATTATGAATGAGCAATGCCTGAAAATCAGGCATGACCTGTTCTTTTTATGCACTGCAACGTGCAGCATATGCGTTGTGGTGCACCACAGTATGGATGTGTTGCCTGCTACTGTAAAAGGGTGTTGTAGTGCCATTTAAAATTAATGCAGCACACCATGTTTATACCAATGTACTTTATATTACAAAAGCGCATACATATGAATGGCCCCTTAGTCTTATCTCTCACACATTTTGCCTCTACTGCTTTATACAATACTACCTTAGTTATGTTGTACTTATGTGTTTAAATATATTTAACTTTCTAAAAATGGATGGGCCCATCCCATTTAGCAGCTGGTGCCAATTAAGATAAGCCTTTCCTTAAAGAAATATGGGGGCTACTATTGATGACCTTTATTTAAAAAAGCAAGTTGGCTGGCTGTTATGCTGAACCACTGGTTTTAATACTTTCAGGGCCCATTAACACTGTTGAGGTGCTTTAACACACACGTGTTGATGTGGGTTATGCTGTACATTAACGGCATTGCGTTAAGGCCTATTCAGCATGAATGGGCTGTCAATGCACCAGAATGCACCAAAAATAGTGCATGTTTAATTTCTGTCAGTGTTAGTGCCTTCTGCATGTTATGTTGCGCTGCAACGCATCCAGTGACAAGGTGCAATTGGGTGCCATTTAGAAGGTACCAGTTTGCACCAATGCATGCTACATGTGTTGCAGTGTTTTGTGATTGTGTGAATGGTGCCTCATTGACCACTGGCCTATTTGTCCAGCGATAGTGACTCAATGGGGGTGATTTACTAACCTAAACACACACACACACCAGGTGTGTGTGATTTTCACACAGCAAAACGTATTTATCAACCAAAAAGTCTCTAAAAGCATATTTCCACTAATGCCATATATGGAAAAATCATGCACATGATGCATATATAATGCTGCTTCACAGTTTAGACAAAAATGGTTAGCTCATGCATTTACATTCCTGCATTCATCAACGCAAGCAACATAACATAGAGCTAATTTACACCACATTACCTTGCAATTCATTGCAGGGCTTTGCACAACACACCTGCTGGGTGTGTACACACTACAAAGGTGTTTCGATTCCTCCCATAGATCATGCTGGGAGGGAACACACTACAGAGGTGTATACACGTTCGTGGTGTGTTTAAAAGGTTAGTAAATCAACCCCAATAAGTAATGATTCCACGGGATCAGCATTGAAGCCATAAAACTCATATTTGAGGAATGTGAGGTCAGCAATAGCAGTCTGCACATTTTTCTCAAGAAAGGTTTCATTTAATATTATTGGGCACAGCCCAAGGTCCAGGACACTAACTGCAAAGTGCAGTTACACAGAGTAACTTAAGTAGGACCAGTAAAATATTTTGATTAGTTGCTGTGGGTACTTTACTTTGCATTATGCATATTGCTCCTTCCACTATGTTACTGCATAAGCTTCTATATAATGGCAATCTACATTTTATAGGTTCTCTGTATGTGATAAAAATGATGTTGAGTTTGGTTCTTTCTTCTTGTATTAGCCCCCTTTTCTCATCACTCTTTACTAGGTTTCCATGTAAGCGATATTCTGACTCATGTCTCTGTAACTGTCCCAGCTGCTGCACTCCACCTAAAATTCATCAAAAGGGACACGGCTATGGTCTCTCCATCATGGGTCAAGTAAGTATAGAAAGTGCATGGTTTCTAATGAGAATGATGCTTGGAGATGGACAGAATGCTGGTGGGATGCATGTCCACCCTATCCTTGCTTGCATTTTGCATAATCCCTGTTTTATATGGATTGCAGATATTCAGATGAATGATTCAACAAAGCCAATGGATGCTTCTTCATTTGATTGGGATGTGTATGATATCTAATCTGTAAAGCCACATGATGATTTAATCTTATTTTCTATGCTCATCTCATGGGTGGGTGTTAATGTATGATTTGATGAAAATCAATTTATGTCATATATTTACTTGGCTTATTGCACTGTACTGAATCCTTTTTAGTAACTATGAACATATGGATTTATTTAGGCTTAAAAAACCCTCAATTATATCATTACATGTCTCCTAAAAGCTCCTGTATATTCTTTGACACATGAACTTGAATATGTAATTGTTACCTGTTGATGGTGCACTTCTTTAGAATGGTTTACATTTAATGTCCCTGCCTTGTGAATACAAATTGTTGTAATTGGTAAGTTCATGAAATTAGTTACCGGTATTAGCCATCGTTCAAGGAGCTATATTTTTGATCTTTTCATCAGGACCAAATTACCTTGCCTTGTTTCTTGGTGTCTTTCTATATGGATGCAAACATCTTGGTAGAGGAGTAAAGCATTGCTTTCTTATGTTAGACTGGCCTCCCCTAGAGGGAATGATGAAAAAGCAGCAGGGAAGCATATATCCACACAGAAAATGAAGTAGAAGTGGATATGTTTGCAATGCAGATCCTTAGGTAGGAGGGCCACCGAAGGCCCTCAGTAGAATAGAAGGCCCTCAATAGAACAATGGGCAACATGAGTAGTGACATCACAAGTGCCCTACATTGTTAAGGAGGACACCTTAATTGCCTTAGATAATCCTGTACTGCTGTCACATTTTAGGAACTGCACTGTAACTTTAACTAACTTAAAGTAATAGGTAGATTTTTCATTGCACTACTTAGCCACAATTACCCAGTTGGCTGACATGGAATTGTGAGGAAATGTTTGCGAACTGTTAAGAATTTTCTACATTTCTGCATACCCGACTTTTAAAATGTGATCTGATGTTAATACAAATTATAATAATAAAACAGTTTTTATTTAGTATACAACACACACAGACCATTTTACATTGCAACTTGTTAAAAAAGTTTTTAACAGTAAACTTCATTGATTAAGAAAGTATGTGATGCTCTATTATTTAGCAATTAGTAAAGCCTCTTTTATTGGCAATCACCTCAAACAAACACTTTCTGGATCTGGTGATCAAATGTTTGCAGCAGTTTGAAAGATTTGGTACCATGTATTTATATAAAAGCTTTTCACTTTAGATCAGTCATATTCAATTCATAGGTTTTGGCAGGGGTTTTTTAGCACCAAATTCTTGGTGCATTGTCAGCGCCATCATTTCTGTTGTTGATATATTACAACATAGCGGTGTATTCACTAAGCTGCAGTAGGCAGCTGAGTGAATGGCCGGCGCTGTTCGGCTATTCACTTCAGGCTGGTAGGCTGAAATCAGCCGTACATCGGGTGGCTTTGCGTGGCTTCGGGTTGGCCGAGCATGCTCTGCATGTTCGGCCGACCCAAAGTGCAGAAGGAGTTCGACTCAGCTGATCCAACATCTGGATCGGCTAAGCCGAACGCCCGGAAGGCTACTCGCTGCTGTTCAGTCTATTCTTAGACCGAACATCTTAGATGCCGAACAGCAGTGAGTGAATAGCCGAATGCCGCTGAGCAGCATTCGGCTCAGCTGTTCTGCTGGGTCCCTCTGTGGGACCCAGCAGAACAGAAAAATAGTTAAAAAAGTGAATAGCCCATACAAAAGTGAATAGCCCATACAGCAGCCCTTCGGTTCTACTGAATCGAAGGGGTCCTGGGGCCAAAGTTAGCCGAAGGATCGGCCAAAGCTACGGCTAGATCCTTCTGCTGCTTCGTGAATAGACCCCATAGTTTTGTTTTGGAACAATACATTGTTGGTGTGGTTAGGTTGAAGTCTAAGGATAAGGGCTTGTTCAAACCAAATGCAGACCAGATCTGCATGAGTTTCTGCACACGCAGTGCAGTGGGTTGTGCTGCGTTTTTGATGCATTCCGGGCCATTTTCTGGTCACAAAAAAGGGCTTTCAGTGCATTCCAGGGCATTTGCATGTGTTTGTGATGTGTTTGCATCCGTTCCAGAGCATTCCAGAGCTGGTACAATAGGCTTGCTGCAGTTTTTTTTACATGCTCTGGAACTGAACGTTGCGGTGTGAACTAGAGCCCAAAATACCATTGAAATACATTGGACGCAGTTTTGATCTGGTCTGTAACTGCTCTGCTCCTGGAACGCGCTTGGTGTGAACAAGGCCTTACGGGTAGGGATGTTAAAGGTTAGATTGGGGGCTAGGGGTTAAGTTGAGTTGTATGGTATTGCTCATCCTTAGGTTTTGGGTATGATTAATGCTTCCATACCGAAAGCAACAATGACAGTTTACAAAAGCTAAAAATTGACAGGCAAAATCCAAAGCAGAGAACACCTAGCATTTTTTTAAAATCAATAGCGAGGGTGAGGCGACTCAGGCTTTTGCTTCGCGCAGCCATCAGGGCAGTGGTGTATTTATGTATTTGGCTGCCCTAGGCAAGCCAAGCTTCGGCCGCCCTCGGCACCTTACTAGCACCCCCCCCCCGGGGGGTTTAACTCTAGTCGCAGGCACCCAGGAAGGTGCCGCCCTAGGCAAACGCCTACTTTGCCTCGCGGTAAATACGCCCCTGCATCAGGGAGAAGCGGGGTGGCACAGCTTTGGACAGAGTATCGGTACATATCACTGATCTATACCGATCCTCTGCCACTCAACCACGTACAGAGCACAGCCTGCGGCTTTTCCTCTGGATGCCTGCTGCTCTCCCCATCTGTAGGCAGTGGGGCTCCAAGGAGAAATGAAGTACTTTAGCCGGGGTGGGGAGGGCGGAGGAGGGAGCCGCTGTCACAGCAGCATGGAAGAGCGGTGAGAAGAGAGAGATCCTGGCCGAGCGACTCTCTCTCTTCCCACCGCTCGGCCATGCTGCTGTGACAGCGGCTCCCTCTTCCGCCCCCCCCTCCCAACTGGCTGAAGTGCTTCACTTCTACTCGGATCCCCGCAGCATACAGATGGGGGAGAGCAACAGGCATCCAGAGGAAAAGCTGCCGGGTGTGCTGTGTGCATGGCCGAGCGGCGGAGGATCAACATATTAGTGATATGTACCAATACTCTGTGCAGAGCTGTGCCACCCCACTTCTCCCTGATGGCTGCGCCCCCCAGCACCTGTGCCCGAAGCGAGAGCCTCAGTCGCCTTACCCTCGCTACGGCCCTGAAAATATGTTCTCTATTTGGAGGAGGGCGCTGTCATCACAATCAGACAATCAGAGAGCACCTTGTATTCATCGATAAAATGTAGGAATTGTCTGAATGGCTGCTGTGCTGAGCAAGTGATCCCCTGTGTGTTCAGAACAGAGGGGAAGCCACTGAGCACAGCAGAGTACCAGGACTAGAAGATCGCTCTAAAGCACTGTAGTAGTTCCGAGTAACCCCGTGCTTTACAGGATCCCCATGGACTACTCAGGTATGACATTTTCATGCTTTCATTGGGCCAAGCTGGACAATGTATGTATGTATGCATAAAACGTTATACCTGGAGTTTAGCTTTAAGACCTAATTTTCACAGCTTCTCTATGGGAGTACGCGACCGTACGCTCACTCGAACTGCACATCTGTGCGGGTGCGGATGTCTGTACTCGTACGCAGACGTGGTCCATCCCGCCTGGATCCTTTCTGCGTACGAGTACAGACAACCGCATGGATGTGCAGTTCGAGTGAACGTACGGTCGTGTACTCCTATAGAGAAGAACACGCTGCTGCATATAAATCACAAGCAGCACCTGTCCTTCCCGGGAGCGGCCCAATACGGATCTGTACAGGCCAACCGTTAGCTGTGTGAATGAGGCCTAAATAGTAAATTTTTCTATAAAGGTCTATACATCAGGCCAAAAAGCTGAGGAAGAATGGGGGACAAAGAAATTTGATTCCAAATTAGGCACAGCCTTTTCAAAGAAGGGACATTTGGGAGCTATGTTTCACGTTTGTTTTTGCAATGTATTGTTTAAATGATCTGCTTTTTATCATGTCACAGCTTTTCACTTTAATTGGGCTTTGACCTGGATATTAAAAATATAGCATTTAGTCGTTTAAGCAATCTGTTGATGATTTAGTACTTTTTAGGGGGTTATTTTTGAGTTTTAGATTACAGACAGATGCCCTGACATTCTGCTGTACAAATCCGTGATACAGCTTGGTATTCATTAGTTACCTAGATTGTGAGCAGGTCCCGAGGCAGCATAGAAGCCTTACGCTATTATTCTCCCCATCTCATGCATCACATTTGCAGGGTGTGTATATGCAGTTTCTAGGTAGTTTAGGCAAGCTTTAGGTGGGCTGTAGCATTTTTGTTTTTGAAGAGCAGTGGTATTCTCTCTAGTAACCTCTTACCATTGTCTACACTCGTAAGGACAGAAACAACAGTGTTGAATTTTTTACCATTTCTAAATTGGTTGTGTTGTTGACTGTGGACAGTCATTGTTAAAAATCTTTTTTGAAACTATTAATATCTTCAACAGCTGTCCTTCTGAAGTTCTATGAACCTTCTTTAATAACGTCCTACTGCACTTTATTAAAATAGCCTAGTGACGAGGTGGTAGTAAAAATTGTTTTTCTTTTTCTTATGGAAGGCTAGATCAAGCTCAGACTTGAATTAACTAGAATGCCTAACTCACTGAATTGAATTCCTACCTCTAATTACCCTTTTTAATGAATCCTAGGGAGGCTATATATTTTCTATGGGACTTGATTTGTTTAATAAATGCATGGCTATGCAAGTGGTTTTGTTGTTTGTTAAAGACTGTATTTATTTATTATTATTGTGACTTAGATGAAAGCCAGATCATAATTTAGGA